CTCAGCTCAGGCTGGACTTGAACCGCTGTTGCTCAGAGCTCAAACTCTTGAGCGAGCTCTTAACCAACTGAGCCACTCGGCCGGCCCTCTTATGTATTTTTTAATGTATTTTTAGCTTTGTTATACATGCACATAATATAGAACATTGAAAGCATCCTATAGGTTTTGTTACCAAACAATAGCAGTTCTCCACCCTTCTCCTCCCTCCCATTTCCTCCTCCCCAAAGACAATCATTTACAACTGGTATCTCACATCCCTAAATAGATGCTTATGTTGCTACTTCATGATTTTTCAGATTTAGGTACATTTGTTCATTTTCTACAAAGGAAATGGGGGATTAGGCCTCTTGCCTTCCTTGCATTGGTCTCCCAAACACTTTAAATAATACTTATGCTTTTATACGCTTTTATGTGTAATATATTTAACAAAAAAATGTCAGGCGAAAATAGGAGGCATATATGTAGATTTAGACTATGTTGTGTAGCCAGAGATTTCAAATAGTAAGTCACAAAACAATAAACAATTAAGTTTTGTTGAGAGACTTTATGTTAAAAATCAGCCAATCTGGAACTACTGCTTTAGTTTAGACTGCTTATTTTATAGATAAGGAAACTGAGGCTTAAATTTCCAGTTAACTAATGGCATCAAGATTCAGACCTAGATTTCCATACTCTTTTATCCAATGTTTTATCACTATTGTTGCAACAAAGTATTGTAAATTATAAAATGAGTGGGGATGAGGTTTGTTTATTTAGTACACATAAGTTATTTGTCACAACTGAATGTATCAGCCTTCAGAATAGAAAAACACAAAATCTATTTTAGTTCTTTCTAATAAAAGCATACTTTTCAGAGAGGTAGTCCTTAATAAGTTACTAATAGGAAATCTCTTTAAGTTCAAAAGTCTTCTTTTAAATCTAGTAGGGTGGGGTTTTTGTTGTATAAAAAGGTTTGCAAAGGAGAACTAACTTTAAAATTGACTGGCTGCTCTTGTATTTGATGCGTAAAAAAAAGTTCACTTTTGGAGAAGTTTTATTTTCAATACCAAAACTTTTTGGGAAAAGTACATTTGGAAATTTCTCTGCCCCTAACAAATCAGGCATGAATAGAGTTTTGTTGTTGTTATCCACTAAAGTATGATTCTTCTCTGATCCTAAAGCACAAAAACAGCCCCATCAGACAATAGACATTAACATTAGGAATAAAATAATATAAACATTATCTGGTTTTATAGAATTAAATAATTAGCTTGCCAACAAGACAATTTAAGCCACATTCTATTTGGGAAAATATGGCTGGTTAAAGGTATGCAGTTGGCAGCACACCTGTATAAATTTCAGCCACAAAATAAAAATATGGAGTTCCTCTATTTTTAAAAAAGGCCATTTCTTAATTCCCAAATAACTTCCCTTGACTGAGTTGAAAATCTGCCAGCAGTGGTAAAGCAGTGCAATTACAGGATTGCAGGCTTCATTACAAATTTGCATTTATGTGACAAGAAGGTTTGAGGTGAACCACCTTTGCTGAGATGTATTTTTATTTTATAAGTATTTTCTTTTTTATATATACATCTTATACATATGTATGCATATCTGAATGTGTGTGTGTGTGTGTGTGTGTGTGTGTGTGTGTGTGTGTGTGTCTAGGCTATCCTAAACGTTGCATGGATTGATTGTGCACTCTTCAAATGCAGTCTATCCCTTTGTGTCTCCATCACTCAGCACAGTAATCATCCATAAAGATGCCTGCAGTGATGGTATGCGTTGCCACAATATCCTCTTTGAGTTTAATTTCCCTACACAGAGCTAGGTATTCTCTTTATTATCTCTGGATTTGACCAGTATGTTCTAGACATGCATATTTCTCTGCCCTGTCTCCTTCAGGTCTTTGCTAATATATTATCTTCCCAATGACAGTTCCCACACATCTTATTTAAAATTGTAACATTACCCCCTAGCACTACTTCTCTCCTCTTCTACCGAATTTCTCCATAGAATTTACCACTAACTGACACACTACATATTTCACTTTTTGTTCGTTTATTTATTGCCTGCCTCCCTACCCCCACTAGAATATTAACTCCATTAAGGCAAGGAGTTTTGCCTGTTTTACTTACCACTGTATCCCTGGTACCTAGCACAGTGCCTAGCACAAAATAGGTCTCAATAAATATTTGTTGAATATTTATTGTTGAATAAATGAATGTCCTGTTTTAATGCTCTTGCAGAAGTTTTTTTCCACTTTTGGATTTATTCATAATATATTACGTATACTTCGTGGTGATTTGATATAATTTGCCTTCACCACTTTCATAGGTCGCTATCTTTGCCTCCGTACTTTGGGTGTGGCTGCTGAATATTTTAATGTATCGCTTTCCAGCACCTGGTTCAGTACCATGCCCAACGGTTGGTATTGACAGATGTGGACTGATTGGTTATTAGAGGCCATTTATGATCTCAAGTCTTTACTAAGAGATTAATTTGATTTATTTTTGGCCAATAACTTACAGGAAACAAACTAAGATGACTTTAGGAGCCAGGCAGATCAGAGGGCCAGTGGGTACTTAATGATCAAACATGTAGGAAAATATATACTGTTGTTTTGCTTGAAATATATGGCCCTCTCAGGCTATTCCCGCTTAACACAGAGATATCAGTACAGGGAGATTATTTTTTACTGGAGCAAAACCAATAGGACAATACCATGGAAATGGTAGCTGACACTCAGCTTCACTCTACAGGACACAATGGGGACAGGTGGGATTTGTGGTCATCTGGAGATGACAAGCCAGTGCAAAGGGGGTGCCTCCCGATTCATGTCAGCTGACTTCAGCCAGGCATGAATTCAAGCCCAGTGTACTGAGATTTTATGATTTTTTTTAAAAAAGAAGCTGGAAACCCCGAATTCTACATGAAATCTTCCATTTTTATACAAGTAATTTTATTAAAGTGCTTTATAGCCAAACAAATTATGGCTATGGTCCAAATTTAATACATTGGGTACGGGCTTAGGAGCTCTGCAAGAGATTTACTATAGCTGTTGCTTTTATGATTTTGTTTCATTTAAAGGAAAAACAAAACATTAATTATGTTCTGATGATGGGAATAATGAAAATTTAACTCTTAACAGGAATGACCAGAAACCCAAGTTTTAAGATTAACCTAATACTCTATTTTAATTTAAAAACAATAAACTACAATTATCTGTGCTGCTTTGAACAAAATTATAAACAATTAACAAGCTTATATTCTCTCAGATATGCACAATAATGTGTAAGCATTAGCTTTTTAAATTTGGAATTAGCCTATTATTGTCCTTAAAAACTAAATAATATTACTTTTATAATTAAAAAAAAACAGAAAATACTATCAATATGGCTCATAACCCTGATGTCTAAAGATCAACCTTAACAAGAAAAATTGTAATTTAGCAAATTTAAATTTTCCTAGCATTAAATTAATGCATTTTATATATATTAAAGTAGCTTTTCTTTTGTATTATTTAGAAATGGAAGGATTTTATAATATTGGCTGAATGTATATTATTTCTCAATCTGATAGTTACATTATTTTTCTTTCTAAGCTATAGAAGATGTCTGGAAACAACAAACATTGTTACATATTCTTCAATTGATTCATCTTCCATTCTTGGAAAATATTTTGGAGCCTCCAGACAAAACACAAAATCTTCAATTAAGTAAAGAGGAAGATCTCGTTATCTCAAATACTTGTCTAGACAGAGAGGTTATTCCAAGTTTATGTCTCCTGAGTAAGTGACCTTTTTTATTGTCAAATAATTTATAACTAAAAAGGTCTTCACATATTTCACCCTTGTTTTAAGATGCGAGAATATATCCATATGTACAAGTTAATACCATCTGTTTTATAAATTAATCAATGTGAACTCTCATTTGATCTAACAAAGAAAGTCACTGGTTATCACCTGCAAAGTTATTGGAAATCAGTGTGGGTTCATTCGTATGAATTCAGTCATGATTTGTCTATCATCCTCTCCCTGTATGACTATTTACGAAAGTTCTATCATTTCTGTTTTATGACCCTCAAATAACATTAACCATCAATTTCTACCAGTTTATTTTAATCCCTGCCCTAAAAGAATCCACAGTCTAGTAGGGGAGATATTCATGAAACAACATTACAGTCCAATGAGATAAGCCCTATCATAAAATCAACCTTATTGGTGGGAAGAGTTTCAGGGAACCCAATCACCTTAATGAGGCTCCATTCTCTTTCCCTTTGAATTCCAAGATATTTGTCATTCCTACTACTAGGAACTATAGGTATAAGACCTTGGGTACTGTTGGAATTCCAACAGAGAGAACTGATATGATCCTTTTTCCCATGTGGGCCAAACAAGAAAAGAACATCAGACTCTACGGCTGATGACCAGAAAATTCGAGATCCTGAGAAGAACTTGGTGATGAGAGACTTGCGGACCCACTTAGACAATCAACTGTGGTCCTGTTTGCACATGGCAGGTTTCCCTAATTCACAATAAGACAAGAAAGGCCCAAAGAGCTGAGTCTCCCCTAGCTCTTGAGTCAGGTAGGGTATAGGGACACCAGCAAAAGAAACAGGATTTCTTTGGATGCTTCTGCAGGAAACAGACAGCAACCAATTTGCCTTGATAAGCATCCAGGCATAAAGAATAGGATATCTGCAAGAGAAAACCAATCCAACTGTCATTAATCTTTTCCTTTGCAACACTACAATCTAGAGAAGATAATGAGTCACACATCTTAGGCAAGGTGTACCATTCACTTGCCGTGGGAGGTGGGGGAAGAGAAGGAAGGAAAGATGGAAGGGAAAGGAAGAGAGGGAAGAAGGAAAGATATTTGAGGATTACCAAAAATTCGTAGAGTATATCACTCAGGAACTCCGTCCAAAGAAAATATTTGAGGAACGCTTTTAAACAGACTACAAAGAAATAGCCAGAACCCCAAGACGGGGAAGATGAAGAGGAAAGAAAACATTGGTAGGCAACGAATTTTGATCTGTGCTCTTGCTATTTTCTCTCTCATTGTGTACTCAACGTGCACACGTACACACACATTCATTCCAAAATGATATACTATGTGGGAATGTATAAAATATAAGTGCTAAATAAGAAGTCAAAACAGCAGGGACATACTATTAAGGGAAATGATAATAAATACTAATCTATCTCAGCAAAAGCTGGGGCTTGGGAAGGTGGTAGATGAGAAGGGGGAATTAGAGCCCTTCAAAGGCATCACTGAAGGAAGGGAGGGGTGAAAAGATCCTAAATTTCTTATTGGAGTGGGGAAAGAAGGAAGGGAAGACAGAATGTGGTGGGGTAAGCAGTGCATATTGTTTGGGGAAATAGTTGGTGTCTTATTTTCAAATAATAGAACCACAAGCACCTAATTATTGGAGTGGGAAAGGGAAGGGAACCGCTAATGAAATGCAACAGTACAGATGAACTCCTCTGAACAAAATCTCACAAATTAGAAATAAATAATGAAAAGGTGGCCAAAAATATTTTAACTCCTTGAAAATAAAGGTATAGAAAAGTATGGTGGTATTTGGTGAGGGAAAAAAAGCTATTCCCTCTTATTCACTCCTCATTCATCCAGCAAAATTTATTAAAATGATTCTCTGAAAAATAGTTTCTTCCTTGGGTTTGGTTAAATATAAGCTAGATTTGATTGTGTTTTATCAAACAGTAGTTTATCAGAATAGCTTTAGGTAGTTAAATGGAAATGTTAACCCTTGATTTGTTTTGTTTTGTATTTTTCCTCCAGGATTGATAACTGGCTTAATGCAGCAATTGAATGCTTGGAATATTTCCCTAACCAGTTAATAGTTTCGGTTAGTCAGCTGTTAGTGCAAAACAGAAATGAAGAGACAAGATTGAATATGCAGAAGATACTCTTTGATATCATAGTAAAATATTATAATTGAGAGAGACTGCCTGTTAACTGATGAGTATTTTGATATTCATTCAGGAATTATTAACTTTTAGGTAAGAGAAGATGTTTAAACTTTAATTTTTTGTATAATAAAACATTTTTAAAGATACAAGTAGAATAAAATGTTATGTATGTTACATTTTAATATTTTTCTTCTGTGATGTCATAGTACTCCATGGAGTCTTTTTTTACTTCATGAGTGTTGCCTGCCATGTAAATTGTACTATCAAATAAATGTAACTAATGTAGTATAGGACATTAGCTCTTAGGTAATTATATATAAGAAACATTTTCATACAGTACAGGATGTGAGAACTGTGTTATCTAGAAATATTTATGATTATTATTTGGTGACCTTTTAGCAAAATAAAAATTGTGTGACATAACATCATGTCACTTTTGTAGCTATGTAGGTGGCCATATAATTTCATGTTAAAAACAAAATACTGTTTGATAATGCTGGATGTAATGACGCAGGTGTTTGGCATATTATATGGAATTATATAGATAACTTCCTGTGTGTTTGAAATATTTCATAATGAAAGTTTTGAAGTGTAAAAAAGAATCTAGATTATGTTGTTTTGTACACCTGAAACTAAAAAAAAAATAAAAGAATCTGAAAACCCAATACAGCATCACAGCATTTCAATTGACTAGTTAAGTACCATAATCTCCATTTTTCTGTCCCATGCTTGGTCTTCTTTGTAACTCATGTAACAGAAAATGAGAAAAAACAGAAGCACTTGAAGCAACACAACTATATCTAAGATAGTTGTTGCCCAACATTAGAGAAGAATTTCAACAGCTATTACTTTTATGGCTATTGCATCAGAACCCAACACTTACAAGTTAAACAACAGGGAAAAATAAATTGCAGTAACAGTTTTATAATTTTGTGCTATTTTTTTTCTTTTAAAAACTGTTCAAGCTAATGTTAATCTTTCTGTTCACAGTATGATAACAAAACTGTGGTCCTAAAAACTCTTGCCAAAGCAGTTTTGCAACCGAAATCATTAAAGTACAGGCAGAAGAACTCGTCTGGCTTCTACTGAAGTGTGACTCTGAGCTCTTCAAGACATCACTGGCATTTTGCCTGGGCACATTTATTACTAAGCTATTAGTGTCAAGCAAAAAGGCAAATCATTCACTTAATAATTTACCTCTAATGTGCAAAGTTGGAAGGAGTGCTGTCTCCACCTACCCACCAAAGAGAAGAAAGCAGACTTAATTTTGATATTTGCAAATATATTAATTCTTCAATCCATTTCTGCTGCATTACTATGTGCCAGGCACTGTTCTAGGTGCTTAGAATGCATCAGCAAACAGAACACGAAGCCACAAGCCCTTGCAGAGCTTATATTCCAACTGAGGATGACAGACAATAAAAAAATACATGCAGTCATTGTCAAGTCATATAGTTCGATAGAAGGCAATAAATGCAATAGAAAAAAGAAAAAGAGCAGGTTAAGAGGATGTAATGGGTGCTTGGACGGGGATGATGGGGAGCTTATAGTATTAAACAGGTTGGCCAAGATTGTGAAATTTGAGCAAAGACTGGAAAGAGGAGAAAGAGTCAACCGAATGGCTATGAGGGTGGGAGGAGTGGTTTGGGGCAGAGAATGGTTCCCAGAGCAGAGGCCCTGGGGGTGATGCATGCCTGAGGACCAGCAAGGAAATGGGGAGCAGAGGGGAAGTGGTATGAGATGAGGTTAGAGAGGTGCAGGCCCTTGTCTGCCACTGGAGAGACTTCACTTCTCCTTGAGATAAAATGGGGCATCGCTGGAGGGTTTGAGCAGAACAGTGGCCTGATGTGACCGACATTTATAAAGATAACTCTGGCTTTGGTGTTAGGAATAGATTGTTGAGGGGTAAGGGTAGAAGCAGGAACACCTTTCAGGAGGCTGTTGTCATAATCTGGACAAGAGATATAGTGACTTGAAACGGATAGCAATATAGTAAAATGTGGTCAGATGTTTGATATATTTTAAAAACATATCAAGAAAAAGATTGGTTTTTTTAGCCCCACTACTACAGTATATCGTATTTTAGTACTGATAGTCATACTTTCAGTGATATTTCTCAAAGCCTCTACAAACAATGCTCCCTTCAGTTTTTTTCAGGAAGATTTAAGGAGAAAAATTACATGCACAGATTTGTATTTATAAGGTTGCACCAGAAAGCCAACGGTACAAGGGAGCGTGGAGGGTATGGTAGGGGGCTCTGAAGTCACAGGCCTGGATATACTACTCAACCTACTTGGGATCTAAAGGGAAAATGTTAGCAAATGAGTGCCCTGGATTGAGGCAAATTCAAGTTAGAAACAGCAGCATCACTAGAAGAGTTGTTCAGCAATGTTTACACGTTTTATTATTATTTAAAATGACATTTCCTATAACATTCCCTAGTGGAGCGTATTTTGATCAACGTCTATCCTATTATTCAATGACTTCTAAGGAATGGTTTTAGAAAACTCTGAGGCGTTAATTCCTCAAGAGAAATTCCTAACCCAGCAGTGCTCCTCCACCTAGTGACAGCTCCATAAATTACAGTTATTCGGTTTATATAGAATTCCCAAGGGTCATCATTCAATTTTAGGCTAAACCTTTATGAGGGAGTTATATGCAAAGTAATTTTTTCACTGTATAAATAAAATCTAGCTCCAATCACTGTAAAGCTTACCTCCTGTTAGAATGTTCAGTAAGTTTCCATGAGAATTTACAGCCTGATTCATAGTGCTTAAGACTCTGCTTAAACTTCTATTATTCACGTTCTCAGGTACGATCCAGGCAAATAAAAGGTGTTCCAAGAAATAAATTGAAGCAAAACTTTTCCCTCATGTAACTTATATACATAATGTTCAAGATTGAAAGTCATTCTTGAGACATTTTTTTTCTGGAGGTCTTTCCTCCCTGTGCTTTCTACAGTGAATTTGGAAGTGCTTTTACTCTGTGATTGGTATATACTAGAAAGACTTTGAACATTAAAAACCAGAAAGTTGGTCAGATGCTTGACCACTGCACTCTACACCTGAAGCAGAATAATATTGTATGCCAACTGTAATTTAATATATATATATATAGTCATGGGATATGGAGTATAGTGTAGGGAATTGAGTCAATGGAAGCGAAATAGATATCTGTCAGAGGGGCAATAGATTGGGGGAGGGGAGTTATCACTTTGTGAGGGATGAAATGTGTAACTAGTACATTGTTTGGTACACCTGAAACTAAAAAACAAAACAAAACAAAACCCCAGAAAGTTGGTGTTGCAACTCCAGTTCTGTCATTTAATAAATGTGGGATCAGTGACACTATTAGGCAACTCTTTGTTGCCTGATTCACTCGCCGGTGGATAATTCAACATTCGATGTATGCCCACACTCCACTTCTGGCTGGTGCCAGCCATGTGATGCAGAACCACCTATAAACCAGGTTTGAATGTTTTCTCTTCGGTATTAGGGAACCTCCATGAAGTCACAGATGTGGGGTGAGGGAAAGGGTAACAGTACAGTAAATGCTCTGAGTGTGAGCTCATGCAATAAGCTCGTCCAACCTAAGTGCCATCTTGTATGTACCACTTCTGCTTGACAATGCCATGCTGCTGTGCAAGCCTAACCGGAAGTGGGACAGGGAAATGATCCCAGGGAGAACTGACAGCAGCGTTTCCGGTTGGTTCAATTTGCGTGAAGACATGGCTCAAGATGAGGGCGAATGGTTTAAGTAGAGGATCAGAGACTTGAGAACTAGACAAGAAATCTGGCAACCAGAAGCTTTAGGAAAGAAGTATGTGAATGGACATCTCAGAATAGGCCCAAAGTGCGAGGATATTTGTGTCCTGTGTGAAAGCTCATCAAAGGCCTCTTCTGCAGGGAAGGCTCCAGGGGGACAACGCAGCCTGTACTGTGTGTATTAGCGAGGCTCTCTGCCCCTCCATCCCAGTGCTTGCTCAGTTGTGCTACATTCTGGGAAGATTCCCTCAGTGTCTCTCTGTTTTTCAGTCTCTAGTAGGATCCATTCTGCTATTCAACTCATCAGTTAAGCATAAGTAATCCTATTTTTAATTTCTAAGATCTGGATCTGTCTGTGTTACAGAAACCTGTTCTTGTTGTAATAGAAATTCCCTCATCAGTCTCTCATAGAATATTACTTATAAAGTTTCTTTTGGCTTATTTTATTCCCTTTGGGGTTCATTCTTGTTTCTTGGATTTGGTGCCTATCTGGTGTTTAGTACCCCTCAAATGTTTAATGCTTGGGTGTCCGTTTTTTTTCATGTATGAAAGAATTCCTGTTTACCTGTTAGGGGAGCTAGGTTCTCTAGGGCCCTGCCCAGTCAGAATTCTTTATAATGCGGTGTGAGCTCTTGCCTTTTGCCAGAGATCAGTGCCACAATCAGCTGTTCCCTTCATTTTCTTTTATTCTGCTGCTTTTAGGAGACATGACATTATTTCAGGTTCTATTCTTTCTCTCTCCAACTCTAACACTGCTACTCTTGCTGCTGAGCCTAATTCCAAGAAAGGGAGTGGTGCTCAGCTGTTTCCAATTTGTTTTCATGGTTTGCCCATGATCTCCTCCTCTCTGTCTGTGTCCAGAATTAAAATATCTCTGTACTTGTTCTTATGTCTTTAGTTCTCTCCTGCCCTGATCTGGGACAAGGGTTTTCTTGTTCTTCTTTCTCTAACCATTTAGTCCATTTTGTTTTCCATCTTTTAGAAATTCCTCCACATGTGTTCATTAATGGCACCCTTTTTGTTTCTTAGAATCACTTAAGGATCTACTTTTCTATCAAAATATAGTATCAACTATTTCATACACAATAAGTATAGATTCTAATATAATGAACATCCATGTGCCCATCACTCAGCTTAAAAAAGTCACAAATAGCAGTGAAGCCTTCCCTCTGCTCTCCTCCCTGATCTCATTGACCTACCTCCCTCCCTTCTCCACTGGAGATCTTTAAAGGGACCAATCTGGCACAGATAAAGAGGTAAAGTGGACATTGTCAGTTTGCTATGTCAAGCCCATCACCATTGAATTAAAAAATTCAAAACCAAGACAGAAAAGTGTTTGAGAGGACCGTTCTATCTTGACTATTCATTGCTGTAAATCCTAATCCTCTACCGTCCTAACGTGTATATATAGCATGGCCAACACTGGAACATGTTTCAGTGCATGCAAATAAAAATTATAAACTCAAATGTGGCTAATTTCTCTCTCTACTTCTAGTAAATCTCAAATTGAAATCCTGAATGTTTTTTCCACACTAAGAGAAATCTTTAATGCATCACCTCGTGTTATTATTTAGAGCTAATGTTAAATGTGCTCTTTGAAATCAACATACTGTATAGTATATCTCTAGAAATATTATCTCTAGAAATAAAGCTTCAAAATTAGGTGTTGAAATTCATGGGATCTCTGATGCTAGAGAAAAGGATTGCGGGGGGGGGGTCTATGTTCATTGATTTCAGAAATGAATTTTTAGTGTCTCAAAAATGAGCACTGAGGGCCGGCTGAATGGCGTGTTGGTTAAGAACTGGCTTGGGATGCCAGCCCCGGTTCGGATCCCACATATGAGGGCCAGTGACACTGCCCTCTACAGCTAAGATGCTGAACAGCTCAACCTGGAGCTGGGCTGCCGTGAGTCGCCGGCGACAGCAGGTGAGTTGCCATGGGCTACGGTGTGTAGCCAGCAGCCAGCGTGAGCGGCCAGCAGCTGCTGTGAGTGGCCGTCCAGAAGCCAGTGACTGATCTGCCTTGTCCGGGAAGAGCCCAATGATGGTGCCAATTTGGGCCAGTGAAGCAACATCCTCCACAACTAGACTGAAGAACAAAACGACAGCAACTAGTCTGTTCCCCTTGCCCCAATTCCCCAATAAAAACCTTTAAAAGAAAACAAAAAATGAGCACTGAGACCCACACTGTATACAGAAATTACAGTTTACTGTAGTAAGGATGTAAACACACAGCCATCATTCTCAGCAGGACATAACAGAAGACTTCAGGCTGGGGCATGTTTGGGGAATGCAGCTTTGAGGAATGCCCCAGTTTCTCACGGGGAGAACACCCTGGTTGGTGATGACAGTATGCTGCCTGTCCAAGATGAGGTTCTGACAAGTCAAGGAAAGCCCTTTAAATGGGGGTTATGGGGGGGCTTATCTCTTTACCTCCAAGCACATCACCTTGAAATTCTAGCACTATTATACTGCATGGTTGCAAAAATTCTTTTATGGTACCAGCATCTTTTTGCTACACTGTCCACAGATTATATGCTAGGAACTGGGAATCACACAAACACAATCAATTGCAATTCTATAATGACAACCAGCCTTGGTCTAGGCAGGACTGACCAGGCCCTAACCCAACACAATCCAAATATGATTGTAGTAGACAGCGCCTTCACCCCATCCAGCATCTCTCTCTCCACCTTGACTTTCCTTTGGGAAACTACCTCTTTTCACTGCAGGCTATCTTAGTAGACTGTCAAAGTCCCCAAAGCCATGGGGCAGGCGCATAATCCTAACTAGGGTAAGGAGACTGGGAGGAATTTGATTCATGAGCACAATAACACAAGATAGAAAATACAGAAGCTGAAGTATTTTGACGGCAGTGCTCTGTAAGGACTGTCCCTCAATTCCTAAGATTATCTGGTTTTTATTCTTTCTAAGACTGCTGGTCCAGCCTTTTCTTCAATTTTTATGAGCTGTCCTCGGTCCTGCTGATAAATTTTGTTTGGCTTAGAATAGCCCAAATGAGTTTCTACTGTTTGCAATCAAAGAAGCCTACCCGATCCACTCATTAAGGTCACTGATAGCTGTTTCCTTAAATTGGAGAGCCATAGCCTTTACCACCTTAATATGCTTACTGAGGATTATATAAGCGTTTTTAAAACTAAACACTGACATTTGTATCAAGAGTTTTTAAGCAACCCCAAGTTAACTTCAAATTTCTTTCCAACCTAAAAACTGTACCAGTTTTATTGAGTGAAATAATGATACACTTCTGCCAACACAGTACGAGCAAAAATGCTTTTAGTGCCTACCCTTACAAACTTACTCTGCGTAAAAAATAAACATTAAACACCCACAAGATTAGTCTTTCCAACTTTTGTATATACAAATAAAAATGAAAACTTTAAAATACTTAATTCTAAAAAAAAGAAAGAAATGACACCAACCTAAAAGAAATGGCCCATTCCTAGTCACAGTCACACAAAACTACCTTCTAGGAAAATTGACCAGTGAGACAGTTAAGTTTCTGCTTTCAGCTATGAAGAATTAAACTTAAAACGCATTCAATCTTTCATCTTCTAATGAAAGAAAACCTGCTCTCAGAAACAGCATAAGCATTGTGATGGCAGTCTAGGTCCGAAACGCAAATATGGGCTGAGTTAGTTTACTTAATAACCTAGCTTTGAAGCCTTTGAAAAATTACCCATGGAGCAAGCGAAGTATTTACATAGGTTAAGACTTTATCTTAAGATGAAAGGTAACACAGGTTCTGAACCTCCTTTTAAAAAGAACACTGAAATTAAATCTTTGTCACAACTAGGCAAAAGGTTCATTCAGAAATGTTTCTTAAATATCAAATTTCTCTTCACAGACGCTATGTCCATTTTCTTCATAATCTTCTCTTGTTACCACCATATCTTCAAAATCGTCATTTTCTGATATCAATTTTCCACCTTCCCAGGCATAAGTAATAGGGCTAAAAATAAAGGTAAAATAAATGAACCCAGATGGCTTTATAGAACTGAAACATTAATTAGTAACTAACATGTGGGAATCTCTACCCAACCTGATTTAACAGAAAATCATTTAAAGTGTGAAAATAAGCATACACTTCATAGGAGTAAAGCAAACTCAGAAAAAAGAACTTTGGTCACAACTATAAGTAAGTGTACTTTTGATTTTTTTCTAGTGCCCTGGACTTATGGACTTTCTACTTTTAATAAAAAACAAGAATACAAGCAAAAGACCAAAAATGCCTAAAACAAAAAATGACATAATAACCGAGTCTAACTTCTGTGTGTGGCAAAGATACGTCATTTCATTAATTCACATAGTAATCCATGAAATAGCTATTATAACTTGCATTTTATAGATTTGGAAAATGAGGTTCAGAGAGATTAAGTCTGGAACTAGCATTTGACCCTGAACTATTTTCACACAGTCTGTGCTTTGCTGCTATACTTTGTTGCCTTTAATAAATGAGACATTTAGAAAATGCAGTTCATGATAAAGAGTTACATGGTAGGGCATGGACAATAAGTAAAATTAGTGCACTTTAAAGATTTACTTTGGTTTTATCTATAATCAGTTTATACTTTGTGTTATGACTCAATTCTATTTCTACTGTTCCTCTATCCCCAACTCAGTTTCAAATCTGAAAAACAATTTAAAAAGTTAACAAATGTTTTGTATTTACTGAATTTCTAACCTTAGGGGGGAAAAATGTGTGTGCCAAAAAAAATGTATACACATTTTAAAAAAGGAAAAAACTGTATTAATTGTAATACTCAATAGATACCAATAACAAAAGATGAATACAAGTCATGTTTGACTTCTGCAATTACAAGAGGTGCTCAAAGTGGTTACCATCAGTGTCCAGACACTTCTGATTATGGCGAACTACTGTAGGCTTGAGCATAGATAACATCTCCTAAAATGTGTATACATTTTTTTGGCACCCCTGGTGTGTGTGTGTGTGTGTGTACGTATACATATACAAGCACTAGATGTGCAATCAAGATTTAGTGCATAAATGAAGAATAAAGCTGTTTCTGTGGATCCCTTGGCCTGTAATGTGTGCATAACCTTCATTTAAAATGAAGGATAAAAATCCAGTATGCTTCATGCTCTAAAGAGTATATGAACATTAATGCTGATAAAAATCATTTCAATATCTAATGGATGTTTATTATTTTATCTGATAGCTATGAGACTAAGTGATCAGATAAGGGCCTTCCATTAACTGCTATAGATTTTGAAAAATTCTACGTTAGCTTTTAAAACAAAACTCTAAATGTCAGATAGGTAGGGTTTCATATGCAATTCTGCCACTTAAGACTTGGAAGGAGAGGATATTTAGACACATATTTGGGAAGAGCTCCTGTCTCAAGGTAAAGAGAACTGGGTTTTACTGTGGTCACTGCTATTAACTCACTGTAAGGCCTCTGCCAACTCATGGGCCCTGGTTTATTTACAAAGTACGAACATTGAACAGGGTGACCTGTAAGCCTTTCTTACAGCTCTAAAATTCTACCTTAACTTTTTTTACCACTATAGTAGAAATAATGATATCTGCTTTTTCTAATACAATGCGGGATAACACATTTTTAAATTTAAGCAAGATCTGTTAAGTGTAAAAGTTAACTTAAAATATTTTAGGGCTGGCCGAGTGGCTCAGTTGGTTAAGAGTTGGCTTAAGAGCGCGAACTCTGAGCAATAGGGTTGCCAGTTCAATTCCCACATGGGCTAGTGACGCTGTGCCTGAGCTGAGCTGCCAACAGGTGGCAGGATGGCTCTGCTGGTATAACAACAAGATTGCCTGTTTGATGATGGGCTATGCCCACCCGCTACTAAGATTGAACTCGGCACCTTGAGCTGAGCTGCCACCCGGATGGCTCAGTGGATAGAGTATGCGCTCTTAACAACAAGGCTGCTGGTTCAACTCCCACATGGGATGGTGGCTATGCCCACTTGCAACTAAGATTGAACACAGCACCTTGAGCTCAGAGGCCACGAGCTGCCGACAGGAGCCAGATGGCGACTGGAGCCTTCCACAACAAAGACTGAAGAACAACAACTTGTCTGGTCCCCCTCCCCAATTCCCCAACACTGTTCCACTCCCCCAATTCCCCAATAAAATCTTTAAAAAAATTTTTTTTTAATTATTTTAAAACATTCCAAAACAACTTATGAACTGACATACCTTATCTTTTTTAAAAAAATTTTTATAAGAGTTTATTTGAACCAAAACTGATGACAATTGCCAGGAAGCAAGGTCTCAAATGCTCCTGACATAATTTACCTTAATGGTTCAATTCTTAAATTTCTATACTGGATAGAAACTCAAGAAATGACACGTCTCAGATAACTCAAGTAGATAATAACCTAATTGCTTTGCCTATAAAAATCTCTTAGGAATGAGGACTGACTTACTGTAGGGAAGTGATCTTACATTAACCGAATGTCCATTATGTACAAACCACTATGGTTGGCACTTTCCATACTTCATCCCATTTAATCCACTGAAATGTAAGGTTTATCCTTTCAATTTCTGAGAAAAGGAAAATGAGGATCCCAAAGGGGAAATAAACCTGTCCACATAGTAGAACCAGGTTTTAAACTCAAGTCTGCCTATAGACCACTTTATCTACAAAATGACTTCCATGTTTTGTTTCTATATAAGCCAACACTTACTTTTCAGGCAGCACAACAGAAACATCATAATCGGTTGGAGTGAGACATCGAACTTCTGAATAAACCCGATCCCTAAATCCTGGGAAAAGGGAATTTCCTCCTGTCAAAACAATGTTCTTAAAAAAATGCGGCTGCATTTCTTTCAAAGAAAAAAAAAGGAGAAAGGGAAGAAAAAAGGCATTAGAAAATCTGTTTGCTTATCTTTCTGGAATGCTAAGGATGAGGGCTTAGGTAAAAGCGATTAGGGACTATAGTTACTGTTCAGAAACCATACTTTTTATGACCATATAAATGATAATTTCTAAGATTCTGTAATCAGGTTATAGTTTAGACAAATAGATACATTAAACAGAAATATGACCTCATAGATCTTTAAAAGGGCTAAGATGAAGAGGCTGAACTACTCGCTACTTTTTATATTACACATGTAAGCCGTACATAAATGAATAACATTCTAGTAGCTGACATTTGATAATTATAATTGTTCTTCCCTAAAATGGAGGGGGTCTTTCTATCAGCTGAGATTGTGAGCTAGTGTAAGGATAAAAAAGAAGGTCCTTCGTGACATTTTAACTTAGGAATCCAAATTTCCATGTTATCTCAATAAATATATTGAGACAGATATTTATATAAGCACTGTTCAATACTTACATTTGATAGTGAAAAATACTCATAATGTATAATAATATTTAAAGGAAATGTTCTATGCTCATTAAGGTTACATGATGGCAAACACTAAATGCCATATGGTTAGCCAGTATTAAAAGCCTACTAAGCACCACTGGGAAATTCATCAAGAACTACAATAATTAGGTACTGGCCACCCCACTTAATGCTTCTGTTCACAAAACAAGAAACAGCTTCCCTTAATGACTGACATTGAGCGTCATGACACGACATTAAAGCAATGTAGGACAAAATGCTATATACCTCATGACTGTAACTTTATATAAAATGTGAAATTAGTTTCAAATATTAATATTAAAATAGTTGTGAAATAATTATATTAGGGTGATGGTATTATGTAATGTTCTTTTTCATTCTTTTTTTTTTAAATGGGAAGAAAGGGTATTTCATGTGCTACATTTTTCCCAATGCCTAGGCTGTTCCTTACGAACTAGGAAGACACTGAACATAATTTAGTTAAATGTTTCAGAAGAACCTAGACATCACTGTGAAGAACCATACTTCAATCTCATTAAAATTAACTTCCTATGGATTAATCTAAACACAACAGAAAGAACAAATCAGTCCCATCAACAGCTAAAAACCATTAAATTACTAAGTATAAATTTCTAGTCTGTGAAAATTTGGGTTAAATTAAAACTTTTTCTAAAATGGATATGGCAATCTAATACTCATGGAGAGATGAATTTATTTAAGTTTAAGTGGACCACAATGACTTTTCCTATATCAAATTTATAATCTAGGACCAATAAAGTAAGAATCATTCAAGTCCACTATTGGATCTGGAAATCTCTACAAATAAAACAGACTTGCCATTTGCTGAAATTATTTAGAAGAAACAGATGACTTCTCTAGGGTTCATAGAGCTTATGATATTTTAAATATATCATTACTACTCAATATTTTAATTATGTACCTTCAGGTAAGTTCTGAATTGAATAGACAATAGCTTCTGGAATCCCCATTTCCTGAATGCCTATATCAGAAGGATTAAAGAGTATTTCTGGAACAGCAAATCTCTCGTTGGCCAGGCGAAGAATTTGTTCCCCGGATTTATATTTTCCACTTAACACCATCTCTTCCCTTGGCTTAAAGAAAAACAAGATAAAAAGTTTAAGCTAAATTATCTAGTTCACATGACTAACATTTAGAAATATGTAATACTAATATAGTAACCATGTTCTTGGAAGTGTCAGGATTGTCAAATTCAGAAAAATGTGGCCTTCTCTCCTGTTGCCTAAACTATAAAAAATAAGTAATTATTGACTCGAATGTACTATTCCCCCAGAGATAATCTGGCTTCATTCCACACATTTTAATACAGCAAGAAAGAAGAACCAAGGAGGGCCGGCTGAGTGGCGCGTTGGTTAAGAGCTGGCTTCGGATGCCTGAGGGCCCCGGTTTGGATCACACATATGAGGGCCAGTGACACTGCCCTCTACAGCTAAGATGCCGAACAACAGCTCAACCTGGAGCTGGGCTGCTGTGAGTCACCGGCGACAGCATAGGATGCAGCCCCTGCTGCAGTGGGTTGCCATGGGCTACCGTGTGTAGCCAGCAGCCGCAGTGAGTGGCCAGCAGCCACCGTGAGCAGCCGTCCAGAAGCCGGCGACTGATCTGCCTCACCCGGGAAGAGCGCAATGATGGTGCCAACTTGGACCAGTGAAGCAACGTCCTCCACAACTAGACTAAAGAACAAAACGAAAGCAACTTGTCTGTTCCCCTTCCCCTGATTCCCCAGCACTGTTCCCATCCCCCAATTCCCCAATAAAAATCTTAAAAAAAAAAAAAAGAACCAAGGAGTGGGAACTCCTTCATAATCTACCTATAATAGTAGAGTGAGTTCAGATTAATCTCTACTTGAAAATCGGCTTCTCAATGATTGAGGCTTTGGGCATTATCACTGAAATTCTCTTTATTTTTCTGCTAACCCATCCATCTGTGGTTCCTGACGGGGCCAGAAAAAAATCATCTCCTTCTGTAACATCCTACATCATTAAAATAATGGTTCCTCACAATTCGACTAAGAATCATTAGCTCTTCTAGATTCAGTTATAGACATTCACTTCACTTGACTCATACAAGCAATTTTCCTCCCATAACAGGGTACACCCCAATCCTTTATGTAAGTATACCAATACTTAAAAAGTGAAATATTAATAATTTATTATTAAAGAGTAATGTATCTAAAGATTATTAAAGATTCTTTAATATAATCAGTCATCTCCTCTCTGTTCAGATTTCGGCCTCCTCAGAGAGGCTTTTTCTGATTCTAATAAAAGATCCCTCCATTACTCTCTACCATCACCCTGTATTATGCTTCACAGTCCGTATTGTACACCATCACATAGCCACTACCTAGCATAGCATGGTACTGGTACACAATAAGTATTCGATAAGCTCTTGAGCAATGGCATGTAAGCCAACAATGTTTTCCCAATTGTTTGTAAATTCCATGCTCGAAACATTATTTTTAAATAAAAATATCATAAAAATTAAACAATATTCAAATGACTCTAGGAAGAACAAACTACGAATCACTTTTAACTCAAACTTATTATACTAGCAAAGAAAAGAATAGTATTCCTTCTCAGATAAAATACTCTTTCTCATGTAGAATAAAAAATATTTCCTATTATTTCATAAATTCATTTAAAAGTTATATTGGCTTGAGTTGAAAGGACAAAACTCATTTTGCCAATACCTGAAATTACCTTGCAAACTTAGAGAATTTCAGTTGCCAAAAATGAGAGGTTATCTAGTCCATAGCTCTGATTTTACAGAAGAGGATCATGTGACTTACCCAAGCTCAAATATCTAACGAAGGGAAAGTGCTAGAACTAGATATCCTTGTTGAATGTTATTGTAGCTCTAAAGCCATTAACTGTTAATATGTAATCTGGAACTGCACATAGTTGGCTTTTAAGAGTGCAATTCCAAAAACTTTTTTTAGACACAGAAAAATGAGGGAATTTATAAGGGCTGCTGAGAGTTGCTATTTTAGTCAATGTAGGCCATAGTTACTGCACAGCCCCCATAAATTTCATTCTGGATGCATGAAAGAAATGATCAGTTTAAATTACAATGGCTCTGCAGAACATGGTAATCATTAATTATTTTCTCAATTTAGTTAGGTCTGTCAAGAGCATTTTACATTTTCTGATGAGATAAAACTAGAATTTCTATGTGTTGTAATCAGTGATGATGATATAGACCTTTTTATTGTTATTGTTACTACTATCACTAGAAAATCAAGGTTGTAACTTTTCCCCAAGTACTTAAAAATATTCTTGGACAAACTATCAAAGCCCAAATGTTAACACTATTCTAAGTATAAAGGCTCTCAAATGAATTTAATTCTTCTTCATTGTATGTAGTATTGTTTTTCTAATTTCATAAATATCAGCTGTTATCAAAGTTATTAGGCAACAACGAAAACAAGTTAATCAAGCATTAAATTTAAAATAATACATCTTAAGAGTAATCTTAACATGAACAAAATATAACTTTCTAAATTTTAAAAATTATGAAATGATATGCATGATTTAACGTGCATTGCGAATAATGTATAAATTTTAATATTGACAAGGAAAAGGCTAAACCACTATTTTTGGAACAGACATTCAATGTAACATTCCATCATGTGGCAAAAGTCCAGTCCAACTGACTCTGTCCACTCAACTGATACTAAAGTATACAAGTAACAAGAAGTTTATGCTGAGTTAAAGGAGCACCGTCCACAAGAAGATTCTGATTACAAGGCCAACAGCCAATGAAAGAGTTGCAAACAAAATAACGTGGCTTCTGCGTTTTTTTCTCCAAAGATAATGACTAAACAATGGTCAACTGGAAGAACCACACCTGTGCTGGCTCACTATGAAAGGTGCAGATTTGAGAAAATAAGGCCTATGATTTGGCAAGGAGGAAACTGGCAGTTTAGCAGATAATATCCAATAAACTGGCAGGCTGTCATTTGCAGGGTAGGAAGGAACTACATTTTAAAAAAGAGAAAGATTTCCAAACCCAGTTGACAGTCCAACCATCTGAAGGAGCCTTTTTCTTTTTTTAAAAGTAAGCCTAAGATTTCAAACTCAGGCACTAAGCCTTTCTAGGGACAGGAACTGAGAACATGAATACCGACTGTTCTCCAAGTGGCCAGAGGATTCCAACGACCAGTCCGGTTTGGAGAAGGTGGGAATCGCTGACACTTACCAGGGTCCAGCCCTGCAGAGTTATGGATTACTTTACATCCACCATTAACTACAGAGTGCTATAAACTGGCCTTAAGGCATTTTACATCACTGGAGTGTTTTAATCAGCTATCATATAGGAGGATCATCAAATGTGCTTAATAAGAAACCAGCTCCATGTCCATTTGTTTGGAGCAATTTTCCTTGTCTTATAAAGATAAAAACACACATTCCATAACTTATGTAGGACTCGGGTTTCCAGTTTCTCTCCCCAGTTCATGTCCTCTTGGTAACCTGATCCCATAATTCCATAAATTTGGTCCCAATTCCCACTTCTAAAAGCCAGCCTAGGTCATTCCACACGGATCTGTTTCTAAGGATATTGCAAGATGATTTCAGTTTTATAAGACACTGGGTAGGCTTCTCTGAATTGATTTGTATTTCACCTCAATAATCTGGTCAGATTTTTTTTTTTTACATTTCAGGCATACAAAGCAGTATAATCATGTAAAACCCATGTATCTATCAACCAGTTTAATGCAACTTTAAAGATAAAGTAACACTCCCCTTTTAAATTTTGTGTTATCATTCATATATAGATTTATACTTCTATTTCATACTTATGTATTCCTAAACATAACTTATTCTGCATAGCCTGAAACTGTATATATCCTTCTAAAACTTGCTTTTAGACATTATTATGTTTTAAATGTTTTAGACAGAAACATGTTTCTGATCCATGGTGATCATGTAGCTCTATTTCATTTTCACTACTGCTTATTATATAATATGAATATACAAAAACGTATTCTTCTTCTATTTAGTGGATATTTAGGCTCTTCCCAATTTTTCACTCTTGTAATTATACTGCAATGAAAACTACCATAAATGTCTCCTTGTGCAAATATACTTACATTTCTTACCAAAGATTTTTAATGTCCTCATCAAGCCAATAACTAGAAGGGCAAACTTCGCGTTTATCCAAACATAGAACTGATAGTTTACCTGAGCTGATCAAAAGTAAGGGGAAATTATTTTGACATCCAAGACAAAATGCTTCTCAACACTTTGAAAGTGCATTGGATGTTGCCCTTTCCAACTAGAATCTGATCATGTCAGACCAAGCAAACATGGGTACAATTCGGCCCCAGGTCAGCTGTATCAGTAATATTCACAACAGGCAAATAACCAACTTCTAACTGGATTTAAACGAATCCTTAAGTAAACAGAAGAGGGTTAACCATAACACAGGTAATAATACTGTTTCTCTCCAGATCTGTCCATATGGTATCATTTGACCAACAGCTCCTTTTTTAAACTTTAGTGAGGTACTCGTGTTTATTCATCATTTATGCACTTGTGCCTGGAGAAATGAACACCTGGAAGGCAGTGGTCAATAACACTGTAAGACCGCCAAGCCTAGCTGGATGCTTAAATCTGTGGTCGCTTGAAGAAATATCATTGAGGATTTTTCAAATTACCTTACAAAAGCCCTTTTTAATTGTGCTAAAGTCAGGCAAAACATAATCTATCATTACTGTATTTTCTTCTCCTTTCATCCTGAAAAACAAAATAGAGACATGAAATATTTTAACAATGTGTAACATTACCCAAGAATCAACTTCCCAATTCTTGGATGACCATTATACATACTTGGCAATATCCATATCTCTATAAAAATCCTGAGACACATAGCATACATCTTCTTTTACTTGATTAATTACGTGAGTTTCATCCATAACATGTAGCTGTCTAAACAAAAATAAAAATTATAACATTTAAAATGGAAAAATTTATAATATAACTTATAATTATCACTTATTTTTTTGGAATTAAACTTTTAGGTACCTAATTTTTTAAAATAAATTCTTGAAAGTGTAAAATATTTGTAACTTTATGGGATATTCATTTCTATTATATTATGTAATCGCCACACTGTCTCTCTGAGGGCAAGTATTAGTGTAGTTTGCAGAAGGAAATTGAAAACAGGGGTCTTCAGTGGTAAGGTTTATTCAATTAAAGAGCAAAGTTTTTCCTCTAACCGTTCTGAATAGAATCTTGCCTTAACTTTTTGCACTGTCTTTTATAATTATATAAGTGTTATGCGTCAGCACACAGTATCTGGTACATAGTAGATGCTTAATAAATATTTGATGAGAGAATCAAAGAAAACACAGACTTAATGTATAAAGATTTTTTAAAAACAAACAAAAATGTGAGGTTATTTCCTTTGAATGTTGTTCCCTGCAGTGAGATGATATATGTGTTTACTTTTCACATTTCAGACTAAACATTATCTCATGAATGTTTTCTTATGCTATTACAAATTCTTTGAAAATGACTCTTTACTGCCCTGTAATATTCAGAGGGGTCTATGAAAATGTATTTATCAATATTTCTAATGTTGGAAGTTTAAAATTGGGAGGAAAAATATTTTTGTGTTTATAAATATGGACTCTGGAGTCAGAGACTTAGGTTTAATTGCAACTTAGCCAAGTTACTTTATTTACCTCTTTGGAACTCAATGTCTTCAACACTAAAAAGATAGTAAGATCACCTACTTAACACAGCTGTAATAAGTACATGATTCTAATCATACATTTAAAGTTTTTAGCATAGTCCCTGTACTCAATAAAATAAAAAACATTATTATTGCTTCTATCTTTTTGCTTTTGTTATAACAAACATCTTCATATACACCATACTCCACTTTCTCTAAGGTGCACAATAGTACCAATGAGAAGAAAAAAATGCTAATTAAGACAATTCTAAGGTACCAATGATTGGAAAATTCATCTCAATTTCAGAGGTTAAAATGTGAAAAAAGTACAACTCAGAAACAATGAAATATAGGTATTTGTATCTATATCTCTGGTTATTTCATTATTTATTCATACTCTAGGACACAGAATATAAAATACATTTAGTCTCTTGGTATACTGCCAAATTATTTACCAGAAAAGTTTTTTCAAGTTATGCTTTGATCAGCAGCAAATAAGAGTGTCATCACAAATCTGCAAAGTCATCTTTTGAAAAAAATTCTATTAATCTGGATTGTAAAAATAGTATTTTAATGTGCACTTCTCTACTAAGTGCCATGAGGGAGAATTCTTGCGTTTTGTTAACTCATATATCCCAACCTCCTAAACAAATGCTCAATATTTGAATTGAATCTGTAATTACTATAGCTGTTTAACATTTTTTACGTCCCAGAATTATCCGTATTTATCCTTTGATTGTATGTAACTCTCTAATGATTATCTATCCTTGCCACTGACCATATGTTTTCTCAGAATTATCTAACCATTTTATACCCGGGTAATTTTCTTATGGATGGATAAGAGCTCTTAATGTATTAAAGAAAACCTCCCAAATATGGGTTTCGGGTTTATTTTTTCAAGTTTATGTTTACCTTAGTTTTGTTTACAAAGACTTTTGACGTACATAAGGTTTAAATTTTTTTATGTACTGAAGCACAAAGGCTGGAAAAATCTATCCTGTTAGCATTCAGTGGTTTTTCCAAACTAGAAAGAAACAAAAGGGAAGTTAAGATTGATGGTAATATTCTGCTTGAACTGTGTTCTGGTTACTTGGCATCATCATTGAGTTGTACACTCAAGGTTTGTAAACTTTTCTGTATGTATGTATTTATGTTTTACTTCAATAAAAGTTTATTTTTTAGAAAGTTGTATACAGGAAAAATATATCCTTTATTATTTCTGCTATTGTTTTTATGCTTAGCAACTCAGTTAATATTTTCTTGTTGTGGTTTTATTTTTATATTGAAGTCTTAAATCCATTTGAACTTTAGTGTATGAAGCAAAGTAAATTTTAATTTTTCTACGAAGAGCCAACTTTCCCTGTATTCTTTCCTGAATAATTAATCCCCTCCTCAATGGCTTCTGATGTTTTCTTTAGCATATACTGCTCTTTTTTTACAGATAAAGTTTGATTCAGGATTAACTATTTGGTTTCACTGATCAGTGAACCTGCATACAAGTATCACCTTAATTTAATTATTACAATTTAAAAACATTTTATCATCTACTACAGAAAGTCTCCTGTCACTATTATTCTGTTCCATACATATTTCTAGGTATTCTTTACAGCTTATTCTCTTCAAGTTGAACTTCAACAGCCTTGCTTTTCAAAATATATACATTTTTTTTCAGTCGGCATGGAGGGATGATTAAGTGTACAGGCTCTGGACAAAACTGCCTGGGTTTTGGTTAATGTTCTCATCTGTCTCAACCTTCTCTGCTTTCCAATTTGTTACTTCTAATCTGACTAGGGGAGGGAAACTAAATATCCAAACTTTTCAAAACTGAGCCCAATTCTATTTGGTTCTGCAATGAATAACATTTATATAATAATATTGTAAATACTATTTGAGTGTTCCATTTTACAATTAATCTAAAATTCCATTTTAGAATGACTATAATTAGTCTTAACTATAGTAAAAAGTAGTGTGTAAATGTTTTAAATCTCAGTTATTAAGAAGAAATGGCATAGCATTATGCCGAGTGAAAAGTCAATCTCTAAAGGTTACATACTATATGATTCTGTTTTGGTAACATTCTTGAACGAACAAAACTATTAGAAATGGAAAGCAGACTAATGATTGCCAGGGAACAGGGATGGGGTAAGGAAGCAAATATAAAAGGGTAGCTCAAAGGAGTTCGTGGGAGTGACGGAGTAGTTCTGTGTCTTGATTGAGGTGGTTTTACATAAATTTATACATGGGATAAAGTCTATACATGGGATAAAGTCGCAAAGAACTACACACTCATAAATGCATGAACAAAATGCTAAAAAGTGAATGTGATCTGTAATCTGGTTCACAATATTGTACCAGTGTCAATTTTATCCATTTGATATTGTACTAGTTATATTAGATGTCTCTAGAGGTACACAGGGCTCTGTGTACCATTCTTCCAACTTCCTGAGTCTATAATTATTTCAGAAGAAAAGTTTTTAAAAAATGTACTAGAGCTGAGTGGATGACTCGGGATAACTGGAGTGGATTTCTTTGGGGATAACGAAAATGTTCTAAAATTGACTGTGGTGATAAATGCATATACTAAAAACCAATGAAAACTGTACACTTTGAATGGGTGAATTGCATGGTACATGAATTATATCTCAATAAAACTGGGGGGGGAAAAGTAATGTTACAACTGACAAAAGAAAGAAGGTAAAGGAGGGAGGACAGGCAGAAGGAAACGCAGATGCACTCATTTTCTCATGTAACATAGAGGGGAGCTAGGATTATACCAGCCAAAGTTAATTTAGCAAGAAAGTGAGGTTTAAGAATTCTACTTACGTTTTTAACACAGTAAAATTTAAAATAATAGCATAAATAAAATTTAGGAGGCAGGAAAAAAGTTAGAAGGTAACTAAGTATACTAATTCCTCCTTTTTAAATACTGGACAGTCAACTAATACTGGTTAATCAGAAACAGAAATATCAATGTATTATTAAGGTTCATAGAAATTAAAAAATAAAAGGTAAATACAGTTCAAATAGTATACTGACATGAGAACTGGAAAGGGGAGGCAGGGATTTATTTTCCTTTTAGATCCTTATTTCCTTATGCACATTTTTAATTTGTTTTATGATTTACATGTACAATTTATAATTTTATAATACTATTAATATATTAACTCCCTAGAATTGGGAAATTTCTTTTTGGTAGGAACTACCATTTTATATGCTAAATTTCAATTTGAATATCATTAGGATTTACATATGCTATTTAGCTTTATGAGTAATAACAGAATTACCACCTAAAGCTACAATTAAAGGTAAGGAAAATTTAAATTGCTTGAAAAAATTCATTGCCAGCACCATATCCTCTGAAAGAATCACAGCTGAGTATTACCTGTAAGATATGATCTCCTTCAGATGATTGGTTAGGAGTTTTCCTCCCACATTTATCCTAAAAATGGATAATGCAAATTTGGTTCAGTTTAGCACACATTTTCCAGTTTTATCCTAAGAAACAGCATGAAAATTAAATGCAACTCACCGAATAATTGCTTCTTTTTTCTTCTTACTTCTGCAATAGGGAACTATATGTGTAAAGGAATATCCACTATCTACAATGATACAGCATAATTCGGAAGGATTATCTCGAAAATATCTATGTGCACTGAGAGCCCCAGCTATTAAAAAAAAAGATGAAGAAAAACACATCAAATAAAAGTATAATTCATTTACAGCAATAAATAAAGGTAGCAAACTAAGGCAAGCACAACAACAAAAACTTTATAAGGAAAATGTTAATTATATACATATTCATAATTCTGTCACAAGTTCTTGGCAGTGCTTAAACTTTGAAACCTCATACTGTTGTGGTAAATATAAATTTGTGGTGAATTTTTTAAGGTAAATGTTAATTTCATAGCTTATAATTATTTTATCAGCAGATAATTTTACTGAGTATTTATTACATACTGGGCACCCTTCTAAACTCCACGAGTAGGTGTGTTATAATCCTCAGAACAGTCCCATTTTATAGAAACTGAGGCACAGAGAAGTTAAATAACGTGTCCAAAGTCACACCATTAGAAAGTAGCAGAGCCAGGATGCAACCTAGGCAGTGTGGCTCGAGGCCAGGGCTTCTCAACCTTATAATTACTGACAGTTGGGGCCAGATCATTCCCTGTTTTGGGGCTTTCCTGTGCATTGTAAGATGTTTAGCAGTCTGTGTTCTCTACCCACTAGATGACAGTACCACCCTCCCAACTGTGACAACTAAAAGCGTCTCCAGACACTGCCAAAAGTCCCCCAAGGAGCAAAACCACCCTTGGTTGAGAACACTGTTCTGGAGATTGTGCTCTTAACTATTATAGGACATCGTTGCTCATGTAGACTTAAGTTAGGCAAGCTAAATATCTGAATACTTTCACTGTACAGCCATGTAATATAATTCTAACCTTAAATAAACTTACTTCTGAAGGATGTTTACAGATTCTTTTTCCTGATGTTGGCAGCCTGAATTATTAACATTATTTCAATCAATAACAACAATAATGGCGAAAACATCAGTAACAGAAAAGATATCTACCTCAGAAACAATAATGTTTAAGAGATTAGAAATACATGGTTAGTTGTAACTTCATTAGGGAAAAATATACACTATTAGTAAAAAGGTAAAGTGAGAGAAGTCTGACTAAATCTCTAAGGGTCCATCTAGTTTTTAAATTCCATGTTTTATTTCCTTCAAATCTAAAAGAATGTCACCCAATATTCTTGGATTTTAAGTGTTTCTTCACTCTATTCATATTCATATAGCTCAATTTCAATCAAAACTTTAACTCACCATTTACTCTTAATACTGCTTGGAACTGGTATTCTTCAAATAAGATTTCATTCATTGATTCTTGAATTGAAGTGAAATTAAAATATGGTTCTGTGATAATAATATTAGTATCTAAAAAATCAACCTATGAGAAAAAAATCCCACAAGTTTTACAGCTTTGTAGTTATAATTATAAACACTTGCTTTACATACATAAACAAACTTATTTAATCCTCACAATAATCCAATCACAACAGGAAACAGGTCTTATTATACCCATTTTATAGGTGAGCAAACTGAAGGACACAAGAGCTGAGTAAGTTACCAAGATTCATATAACTAGTTAGTAACATAACTAGAATTTGAACCCTGGGAGTCTGGTTACAAAAATCATGCACTTAACTATTATTCAATTTTAACTCTCTTAATGGTAGCATTAATAAAATGGTACTATCAAACTGTTTAAAGATAATTATGCAAAAGTAATAAATGATATAACTACAAGCATTGTGGCTGTTGTCATTTTGTTTTAAAAAGTTCGGGGCCAGCCAAGCAGCATGTTGGTTAAGGGCTGGATTGGGATGCCAGCTCTGAGCAGCAGGGCCCCGGTTCGGATCCCACATGTGGGCCAGTGACACTGCCCTCTACAGCTAAAATGGTGAACAACAGCTCAACCTGGAGCTGGGCTGCCATGAGTCACCGGTGACAGCGTAGGCTGCAGCCCCTGCTGCAGTGGGCTGCCATAAGCTACCCTGTGTGGCCGGCAGCCAATGTGAGCTGCCAAGAGCAGCAGTGAGCAGCCAGAGGCTGGCGACCAATCTGCCTCACCCGGGAAGAGCGCAATGATAATACCAACATGGGCCATTGAAGCAACATCCTCCACAACTAGACTGAAGAACCAAAGGACAGCAACTTGTCTGTTCTCCTCCCCCAATTCCCCAATTAAAAAATCTTTAAGAAAAAAAAAAAAAAAGAAGGTTCGAAGGTGAGAAGCTTGAGGATATTTAATGTTTACATAATTCTCTCTCACACACTAAGAAGCATTAAAATTTGCATTCTCTCAATATATCTAAAGTCAAACAATAGACATTAAAGTACGCATTTTTCATATTGTAATAATCATACATTCAGATACGTAGACAAAAATATTTATTATGAAAATAAAAATGAGACATTGAATTGGTCTAATACTAGAAATCTGAAGTAAAAGTTTAATCTAGAGTTTCATACAAGCTATCTTTTCTCAATCTCACATTTCACTTCAAAATGAAAATTCTATTCACTTGCACTTATTTAGTATTTTGAAAATCAAAGCTAGGCTCAATATACGAAGTGACTTAAATACATACCTGAAACATATTTAAAAGTTTATAAATCTTAAAATATAACTTCTAGCTTTTCATTTGAATAAGACATGGAAATGGAAATTTTGAATACATACTCCAATTTGTTACCTGATACATTTCTTTCCCAAAAAGGTAATCCCAAACTTGTCTTTGAACATCCCAATTCACCAAGTAACCCTAAAAAAAAGTTTTTATAAATTTAATTATCAAAAGTATTTGAACAATTTTAAAAAATCATATTAATATATTCTAAATCACTGACTTCTATCTCTTTATGGTTACCCTCACCAATGTAATGCTGTTTGAATTTCAAACCAATTCTGTTTTCTTCCTTTTAAAAGTTCAAAAAATTACAAATTCACAATAACCAAAATGTCAAGGGAACAAAAGACATACCAGTCTGTGGAGATGCCTCTCCATATTTATTTTCTTTAAAATGTTTATGTCATTTAGCTTTAACACAAACAAGTAAAATTCAGTACCCATACCCACAATCAGTAACTAAATCATGGTCATTTATTTTTAATGAGACAATGTCAAGTTTTGGTTTTAATAAGAATTTTTTTAAATTTACATAACTTTTTCTCAAAAATCTAAAAATATTTTCATACATACAAAATCTTATATATACATTTGAAAAGTATCTTTAAATTTAGGTTTGTAATGCTAGAAATGGCATATAATTGAATTACCTTCTGAAAAGGAAGGATGTAAAAGAGCCCAGAAGGGTCTTTTATTTCATCTATCTGGTTAGCAGTAAAAGTTTTAAGACGTGCTGTTTTTGACCTGAACTGACAGTTAGGAATAACCCTATAAACAAAGAAACAAATAATATAAACAAATAACATAACTAAATACTTAGTTGCTAAAAATACATTTACTTAACCATCATCCTGGATGCCAAAAAAGATCCAAAAAAGTGTTTCTCATTCTATCTTTAAATAATTTTAAAAATGCCTTTTTTTTTTCAGGTTCTAGTATACACAAAGTTCTATAGTGGACCTTAATTTTTCTCAAATAACCTTCAAGAAATCCTTACATGTGAGTATTGGTTCTGCCACCACACTGATTAGAGCAGAACTTAGGTAAGGTCTCTGGCCTTTCTGGCTTTAATTTGGAAATTCTTCTTTTTTAAAGATCTTTATTAAAATATAGCTAACATACAATATTATATTAGCTACAGGTGTACCCCATAGTTATTCAACATTTATATACCTAAAGAAACGATCACCATGATAAATCCAGCAACGATCTGACACTGTACCATGCAATCACAATATTGACGGTATTCCTTATGCTGTACATTACATCCCCATGACTTATTTGTTTTATACCTTGAAATTTGAACCTCTTATTTCCCTTCACCCTTCCGCCCCCCTTCTTAATTGTTCAATCACAGTTCACATTCAATATTATTTTATATTAATTTCTGGTGTACAACATAGTGGTTAGACTAATTCAGAAATTCTTACTACCATCCTGGTAAAAAAAAAATTTACAAGTTCAACACTCTGGCCATAAAATTAAGTTTCCATTAAGTCAAAGACTTTCAATCAGCAAGATGCTACAGGATACAGAAATAAGAAGTAATTTTAAATATGGCTGCTGTCCACCAAGAACTTACAATCTGTTTAGGAAGACAAACTAGATCCATTATCAATCATATACAGGTGTACGTGTGTGGAGAGAGGTGGGGTGGGAGGAAATGATATTGATATAATACTGTAAAATTATTTTGTACATGCTTAATTTACTATGTTGTCATCTTCTCTGTTTAAATACTCTTTGAGGACATGATTTTAAAACGTTCATTGTAGTCAATCTTATGATTGTATTATAATTTTAAGCAATTCTTCATTATTTGCAATAGCTTGCTTCCTTTGTCTTTTTCTTTTTGCTACCATACACGATGTCTATAAATAATAGAGAGCTTCCCGTATTTACTCTTACGAAGCAACTTACTCCTTAGGTAACTGATAACAGAATTGTTGTGTCAAAGGATAACAACGATATACATTGATAAATATTTTTCAGAAGACTAACAATTTACATTCCTAAGCAGTTCGACAGTCCTCTTATAAAAAGAAAACAGGAAGGAAAAGGAAAAAATCCTCTCTGAACGTAAGAAAAGCGTGTCAAATTTCCTTATTCTTTATGCAAACATCTATTTTATGAATGCTATTGTAGTATTTGTTTAATTGACTCTATAACCGACCATGTCAGCCAATGAACACTTCGAAGGGCTTACACACAAGCCTTCAAAGTCTCCAGCCACTAAGACAGTGGTTTTTACATTTTGGGGAGCTCAAGGAACCCTCTGAGGATCTGATGAAAGCTATAATCGCATCTCTAAGAAAACATACAAAATGTTGCCCCCTATTCCTGCGGATTAACTGTGTGTACAGACCTCTTTGTTAGGAACCGCTTTTCTAGAAGCCTATTTTCCTGAGCAACTTCCTGTTACAAAACGAAACACACGTGCCACTTCCGGGGCCGCGTACCCCCAAATTAACCCCAACCACCCAGTTCCAACAAGAGCATCCCTCTGGCTTAGGTTACCGCCGCGCGGGGGCGTCTGCAATTTACCGACGTCCTTAGATGAAGCGTAGTATGTGAAACTACTAGGCATGTATGCCTTGTCCTTCGGAGAAAACGAACACTTACGATACACTTTCATGGCTGTAACCAATTTTGGCGTTGTAGGCTCCGTTATCCAGCACTAAGGTCGTCATTTTAGCAAGAAACACACTGCCTTAGCTTTCTCTTCCTGACACTTGTGCTCACAGTTTTTCCGGCACTCTATGGTTTGCACGGGCGGAGCTTAAGGGCGGGCTTCCGGTCTCCCTTAGCAACGGAGGACGCCGGAAGCCGGAGAGTGCACAGCCGCCTGGGTCATCCGCGAGACTCTTGCTGTGCTACCAAGCCTAAGCCGTTTACGTCGTGGCGAGATCCTAGAGTGGTAGTGCTTTTTCACCTATTGCACATTTGACCTTTACTTCACAGACTGACTCGCTCCTGCAAGTCAACTGACTCGTTCTTCTAACCCCTGCAGCGAACATCGATGTGTGTGTGTGTGTGTGTGTGTGTGTGTGTGTGTGTGTGTGTGTGTTCGAAGTATTTATTGTTCAGTGACATTTATGGAGACTAAAGTGCACCCCAGACGCAGCATGGCATTGACCATGGGGTCTCTTCAGCCTCATTCCCTGCCATTGCTCATCCTGCTGTAGGATCTAACCACCCTTAATTACTAATATGCTGTTCCGTCAACCGCCTTGCTTTTTTTCTCACACTCACACTCTTTCCCAGTCTGCTTGTTCTTCAGGACAGAGCTCTGTATCTTACCTAAAAAGGCTTCTCGACGTTTGACACACTTCATAAAATTAGGTGTACCTCTGTGTTCCTGTAATGCTCTGGGCTAACGCCTATGTATCATAATGATTAAGAGAATGAATTTTGTATTGGAATCTGGACTCTGCCACAAAATGTCTGTGTAACTTTGGGCGATGAAGATGATAATGATTAATACACAGTCAGTGCTTAATGAGTGTGGGTAAACTGTTCTAAGAGCTTTACATGTGTTAACTAATTTGATCTTTACAATTTATGAAGTAGGTAACTATTACTGAAATCAAAGAGATAATGGTTAAGAGTGCAGTCTCTGAATTGAAACTCATAGCTCAAATCCTGGCTTTGCTACTAGATGGCTGGGACAAGTTAGTTAACCTCTCGATGCCTTAGTTTCCTCACCTGTATAATGGAATGATATTAATAATGCCCCTTTGCAGAATTATTTTATGAGGGTAAATGATGAAAGGCAAGTACCTGGTAGTAGTTATCATCATCATCATCATCATCACAATCATCTTTTTAACATATGATCATTCTCTGTTAACTTGCATAAATGGCGAACTGCTTGAAGTTAGGCACTCTATTCTTTTGGTGTCTATATCACTTTGTATCAAAAAAAGTCATTAAGGGCTGGCTGAGTGGCTCAGTTGGTTAAGAGCTCACTCAAGAGTGCAAGCTCTGAGCAACAGCAGTTCGATGCCCAGCCTGAACTGAGCTGCCGCTGAGCTGCCAACAGGTGGCAGGATAGCTCAGCTAAAAAAAAAAAAGTCATTGTCCAAAATTATGTCCAATTTTAGTCATTCTGTTTTCTCTAATATTATATCGATAAGATCCCTTACTACAAACATGAAAAGAATATTTTATAAATCTTACATCATAGAGCAGCCATCATTTCTATTCATCTCTTATCTTTTAAAATGCATTCTTTCAATCCCATCTCTCCTTCTGGTCATCATCCCTTTCACATTTAAGTTTCTCTTTTTGCTTTCCTTTACATGCTCCTCGATCAGAATCATTTTTGTTCTTGGCTTCAGCTATCATTAAACACTGATAAATCCTAAAGCAGAATTTCCATTCCCACTGTAACCTGAATGTTTCTACCCAGACATCCCGAGATAATCTTAAAGCAACAATTACCAAACTGAAGCTCATCTTCAAAACTTCCAATTCTACCTGTATTTCTTATCTCAATTAGTGATCTGTCCCAACATCCACACAATGCCCCAAGCTATTTAGAAACCTCAACTACCTTCAACTCCAATCCTTGACTGAATCTCTGGAACCTGCCCTTGTCTTTCTTTCATTTCTATTGATAACTGTTTTATCTCTCACCTGAAAATGCCATTGCCTTCTCAATGCCCTTCCTGCCTCTATTCTTTTCGCATTATGACCTATCCTCTGTACTGCCAGCCTCATTATCAGCAAATATTTTTCTAAATCAGCAATCTGATCATCCTCCCCAAATTCACTCTCCAAGTCTTCCATGGCTTGACATTGCCTATGAAATTATGTGCATACATTTGCAATCTCATCCCCCTTCAACACATCTCACAGTGTGTGCTGGTAAATGTTTGCAACCCGATCTCCAGGAAATAAAGCCCTGATTTGTAATGTTTACCACTCTCTGTGATATAAATATTGCCACAATTTATATCACAATTTATAGCTGATTTCAAGCTGTACTGAAGTCACCACAAACAGAACACAGAGTTGGGGACAGGCTCACACAGTAGGTTCTTGTGAGCCAGTATGAGCCAGCATGAGCCAGCTTCAGCACTGACTGTTCAGTAAAAGCTCTGAGCCTATTCACTTCCTCCTTCCTGATTTTAGCATAAATATCTCAAGCATGTAAGTGCTACTTTTCAAATATATATATTTTGGAAATGTATAATTTTAAAGTAGTTAAAAATACGACTTTGCTATAAATACATAATGAACATGTGCAACATATTTGTCACAAGTGAATTGCTTTACATCCTATCTTGTTAGCTCTTACATTAATATGAGTTAATAAATCTTTTTTTTTTTTCCCAAAACAGTGTTTTTTCCAGGTCCCATCAGCTCCAAGTCAAGTAGTTGTTCAATCTAGTTGTGGAGGGCACAGCTCAGTGGCCCATGTGGGAATTGAACCTGCAAACTTGGTATTATGAGCACTGCACTCTAACCAACTAAGCTAACCGGCCAGCCCGAGTTAATAAATCTTTGATGCATATTTATTATATATTTGTATGACAGTCATGTTTTTAGCTTTTTTAAAATTTGATAATAGCAATTAACAAAAACATAAATTAATTTTAAACCCTGAATTTATGGTGATTTTGTGACATTATGTGTTCTCTCAATCCAAGGAGAGTAAAATTAAAATTATTACCATGTATTTCTCAATAAAAATATACTATAACTACAATTATTAGCTTGTGGGGTTCATTTGATACTGATTACTTTGAAAAGGAATACACATTTTGTTCTAGCCACAACATTAGGCCACTTGCTATTTAGAAGCCATGAACTTTGATACTTCTGTTCTTTTTCATAATTGGGTTTCACCTGGCTGAAACACCCTCTTCTGCCTAGCGAATTAATAATCATAGCTACCATTTTATTGTGTCTGTAACCCTCTAAGTACTTTAGCTTCATTAGCTTGGTTAATTCTCACAACAACCTCATGAAGGTAAATAGCACCACAAGACTCCAGAGGTTCTTTTCCTATGATCACACAGGAAAAAAAATCACGTTCTTTCCTATGATCACATACCTAACAATCTACAGGGCTAGGTTTCACATCAAAATCTTTAACCTCAGGGCCAGTTCTTTTAACACATTAAGTTGACATTTGCATCTTTGAAATAATATCTCCACTATAAATCTATTTCTGACTTAACCAGATAGAATCACTCCCTCCTCTGTGTTCTCATAGCATTTTGTTCCTGTTTTTAATTATGTTAATGATGATGATAGCATTTATTAAGAGCTTGACCTATGCTAGGCATTCATTTTATATGCATAGTCTCATTTAAGTCTCACAATATTCTGAGTTAGATACCATTACTCCAATAGTCATTATGTAGTAAGTGAAGCTGAGAGAGATTTAAAAACTTGCCCAAGTTTACGCAGCTACAAAGTGGCTGAGCCAGTATTTGAACCAGTCTAATGGCAGAGCTCAAGGTCTTAGCACTAGCAATTTACCTTCCATGCTATGCTGTTCAGTCTTTGATGGCAGAAACATTTGTTTGTTTTTGTTTAGGCAACCCTAATTATTTGAACAGTGTCTGGTTTATAGTACATGATAAATATTAAATGAGTAAATAGTCACCTCTGTTCTCTCAAAAAGGGACAGGTTGAACTATATGTAAACTACCCCCTCTACCCAACACATACCCACACATCTTCCTGATACATCTCTCAGAGGTAGTATAATTTCTTTTCCTCTTTTAGACAGCACTGGGTGATCATTTTCACCTTTGAAAAATGTTGGTTTGGGGATGGGCAGGGTGAAGGGGTGGAGCTGTAATAGCTCTCCCTGCTATTTCAAAAACTTCCTTTTAATAGAAATTTTCAAGTGGAATTCTACAACCTTATTTCATTAGATACAACAACCTAGTGAGGAGGATATGGTTGATATTATTAACCTACTTTATAGATGATTAAACTGAGGCTAAAAGTAAGGAAGTTATTTTGTCCAGGTTAACACAGCTAGAAAAATACTAGAGCCAGGACTTGAATTTAGGTCTACTAATTCCCAGGTCCTGTACTCCATTAGGGTACATTGTCAACTTTTACTTCCTTTAGGATTGGAATCGCCAGAGGAAACATTAACATTTAGCCAGGGGAGAGCAGAATATTTTAGCAAAGAAGAAGAAATTAAAACATGAATACGAAGAAAGCTGAGTAGGTAAAGAGAGCAAAGCAAGCAGGTAAGTTTGTGGAGGAAATCCTGAGGAAATAAAAAAGAAATAGGATGCGGAAGGAGACTCAGTAAAGGAGACAGGAACCAGACCAGAGGTGGGGAGGGAGGACTACAGCCCAAGAAGGTTTTGGGATCGGGAGTCAAAGCTCCCAACAAGGTCTGGGCAAACGCGGACACCGCCTAAGGGTAGAAGAAGAATGAAGGACGCATAACTTCCGCGTCTGCCGGAAGCCTGTGGTGCCCCGCCCCGCCCCCG